GGATTTGTTGAAAACAAATTAATAAAGTAATAAGCTTACCTAGATAGTGGGAGAAAATATCATAGTATTGAATAGTATTGATACTACTTTGTACCAACTATGTCTCGTTATACCATAATATAATAACTACATATAATTACCTTTCGAATTTATTTATTTAAAACAATAATTAAATATTAACACAATTCAGCGTTAGGTATGTTCATATTTTTTATAAATGTTTTTCTATATTTTAAAAAACTGAGAGGATAAATTTTTAATATGAGAAATAAATACCTACTATCCATCAATAACAATAAAATAATACATTTTCAAACTTAGTTCATAAATTAACAATATATATAAAATAATCGACTCATTGTATCGAAATAACTAATAAGTATATAATATTATGTTTGTCGCATACTAACACAATAGTGTGTGTGTGTATATATATATAATTATATATTCAACTTTAACATAAAACAGCTACGTATACTAGCTCCCTTAATTATTATGTATTTATGTACATAATATTTACATGACAATATAAATATAAATATTTTTTATAAAACTCTTACAACACTTATTGTTGCATTTACTGACGAAATATTTGACATCAAAGGATATATTTTCTTTGATCGCATTGCATGGAATTGCACACATATTTTTGTAAATACATTTTCCTCACCATTTTTTGAAAATATATAATGTTCTTCACAGAGATAGTTTGATTCTAAATGTACTATAATAGTAGCAGGTTGTCAGTTATGCATCTAATCAAAATATTGACCTTTTCTTTTCACATTTTTCCATATATCATTAACATTTAATATAAAACAAAAGTGAGTTTAAATTAAATACCCAATTAAAGATACATTTATTACATCATAATTGACCATCCACCAGGATATTTTTCCCACCATTTTTTTTTTATGTAACTAACAAATTATTTATTTAATATGATGAAATAGGTAATTAAAATCTAATTATTTATCTTATGTATATAGAAAATATATTAAATATCACAGGATACTTACAATTTGTATAAATTAAGTATGTATAATAGTATCATCAATCAAAATTTAAGCCAATGGCATACAGGATTGGATTAAGGGAGAGCCCACGTATGTAAAAGACTCATAGAGTGTCCGGCTTTAAATTGTATTAAGTGGTCATTTGTAGTTTTTACAGTGGAAAAATATCACATTTTAAGACAAGCTAAAAAAAAAAATCACAATACTATATTATATTCGTATGAAACTAGTATGTAAGTCCTGACTATTGATAGGTACCATTAATTTACCATGAATGGTAAAAAAACGACATGTCGTTTTAGACTGTTAAAGACTATTGTCTCTTTTTAGAATATTGATTAACCTATTCTTTCCCTGAAGATAACGAGTACCGACTAAAACAACAACAATGATCGAATATTTTTGTCATTGATATCACTTTAGTAATTTTGTCAAAATTATGATTTATGTATAATATATATATAAATAAACATGTTATATAAATATTTAAAATTTTATACTATTAAAAAAGTAATAAATGTATCCCAACACCAATTGCGTCATTAGAGGTGTTGGGGGTGGAATCACCTACAAATTTCAACTTGTATTTTGGGTAACTAATATGTACTTCAGTATTAAAACAATAACAACGTATTCAAACTATTAAATTATATTATTTTAAAAAGGTAATATTTTTACTTAAAATGTAATGAAATTAATATCATTATTAATTAATCTCACATATAATGTAGGTAGGTATATACTAATTCATTAATCAATTATGGCTACTAATTTTCAGTACCATCGGATAAACCACCGGTGCAAACAGTGCTTATATTACATCTTGGACATTTAAAACAACTTTGAATACACTCTCATCAGCTCCTCTAGCACCACTGATAATAACATAGTATGAACTATAATAGTGTTATATACTTATAGTCAGTTATAGATGTGTAATACCGCGTTCAGTTAACTATATAATGTATTCTAACTATAATAATAGTATATGGACTATTTTGAAAGCTAAAGATTTATTTTAATTTTATAAATGTGTAAGTTAATAAACTAATGTATGTTTGTATGGGACCTATAGACTTAGAAACAACTGAACCAATTACCACCAAATTATGCACGCATATTCCTTGAGCCTCGGAAAGTGTTTATAGCTTCGTTTTTAACCCATATAGGGTTACTATGGGGTTACTCATATTGGGATTTTATTTTCACTAAAAAAAATCAAATATTTTATGTTTTTAATAAAAATAAGTAGGTAGGTAAGTAGATAGTGCTCTTGAAGAGGCCCCAAAATAGTCTTTTGAAGCAGCCCCCTCCCCTCAGAGTTTAAGATCCAGCACTGCTTATATTATTTTTTAACAATGAATAATATTATTAAGTTATGCCTGTTAATTAATGTTTCCAATATTATAATGTTCAAAACAGTGATACGAATAGGACTGAACTTTGTTTTCTTCATTGATGGGTACCCAAAATCAAGGTCTTAATTCGGGCTTGGGGACATGTCATAAATAAATATTTCTTTCTTGTATGAAGATACTTTAAGCATTATTATTAATGTTTATTTTTAACGAATGATTCATTTTGAATTCAAAATAATTAACATAATCTATTAAATATTTTAATATATTATTATGTATTAAATATTCAAATATCAACCAGAGATAAAATATTATGGTTAAAACTTTATGGAAGGTGCCTAATTATCATTTATAATATTAATTAAAGATACATATTTCAATCATTGAATAATTTCCTATTCCTTTGATTTTACCGAATTCTGAACTCTCACCACTATGAACTTATCCTAAAGTGCATCTTAAAATATAAATTATGTATACTAAAAAGGTTTGTAATGGTGAACAGTATACATTTTGAATGTAATTCATGAATAAAAAATGTATTTTTACATTATTGCTTTTATTAATGAATTCTTAAAAAATAATTAAATAATTAATAAAGAGGCCGATGTCTTTTTTTTAAATTGTCCACAATTTTATAGAATTTTAAAATCATATTTTATATTTTAGCTGCTACCTCACTCACAATAATTTTCCACTAATCTACTGTACAATACCTATTTAGGGGGAGGAAAAAGCTAATACAGTGTGTGGTATATCATATAAAAAATGACTTCACAGAAAAAATGTTATTCCTTATAGAATTATTTTTTTAATTTTATTTCAGATAATAGTATATAATAATTTTGTAAAAAAATTTAGTTATTTTATTCTTAATTACATGTTAGAATGTTTCAGATTAAAATATCGGAAATCAGAGTTCAAAGTCTGTAGAATATTACCCTCTATAAAATAAGAAAAAAATAAAAATCAACTTTAGTTGATTCTACAGAACAGAATTATTATTATTATTTAATGTATTTATATGAACAATATAACTTTGGCATTGGGCGCTTTAATAATACAGTTATAATACACTTCGGCATATTAAATTGACAAATATTTATAAAATTATATTTATATTGACATATTTTTAAGCATAGAAGTGCCAAACTACATTATATTGATCTAGATATTATGTATTTGTCTTTAAACCCAACATTATCAACTTACAGTAAGCTAAGATTAAATGTTTTTAGAAATTATTTTATTACTTTTGAAGAAAAAATACAATTTTAATAGGTATATAAACAAACATTTGAAAAATATATTTATCAACACATTAAAGTATAGAAGCACTTATTTTTCAAATAGCAATTAAGCCTATGATTGCAAATAGAATATGGTACATTTCAATATGAATACCGAGGACAAAATCACTTGAAGTCTTGAAAAGTTCAGAGAAAGAGACCCAGTGACATCCAAAACCAAAAGCAGGTATTATAGACTATTTAGTATTTATCTTATTAGATGGGTATCTATCCACTTTATTTTATGCCATTCTTCTAGCAAGAGTTCACTTCAAATCACTTGAAATCAGAAAACCCTTTTAAACACTACTAGAGTACAATAATTGTTTTCAACCATTAGAAATGTACTAATGTATATACAGTACATTGTTTAGGTCTTAATGGTCGCCAGTATAAGTATGCACAATACGATATAATCTGTAAATATTTCATAGAAAAAGTGACCTATTCTAAATGTTCAGTATACTTATACTCTTCGATGTTCAAACTAAAATGTCACGAGCATTTCTTCACGAGAGTCTAGAAGATACGTCATGTCATCATTATTTACAGCCATCTACGAATATTATTATACTTATAAGGTATATTCAATCATAACTATAAATATATATTTATGCATGTATACATTTTGTATATGTGTGTTTTAAATATGTATGAAAATAATAAAATGAATATATATATTGACTAAATTAAGAACGCTCTCTATACAACTAAGTAAAAATCAATCACAATAAATCTATTGAAATTGGAATTTTAGGTAGGTACTTTAATTTTTTATAGATATTATTGTTTGTATTTGAATATTTGATAGATACTTGAAAATGTACAAATTAGTCTGTACACATCTTAAATGTATCATCTTAATGGTAATAATATTTTTATTTTATTTTTTGACAACCAATGAATGGCCTAGATGTTGTGGCTTTTTTTCGTAAAAAAGCAAGTGGTAAAATTATCAAACTATGTCAATAATAATAACAACTGTCTCAATAAATCAAATAAAACATACTCTTAACTATAAAGTTTTGTAATAAATCAACAATGTTGAAATGATTTAAACGTAGTACCATGCGTCCATGCAATAATACATAATATTATATGAAGTCTATGTCAATGATTCTCTTTGACTATTATTATTCTTTTAACTAATATACAACTGTACGGTTTATTTATTAAAAATCGCGTAGCGAATTTGTTCTATTTAATAAATCGCTAGAATTTCAAGAACAGTCATCCAGCTATAACTGCACTTTAAAAAGACATCAACAATTTTTATGCATTATGTATTGTAGCTAATAGCTATATTATATGTTATACGATACATCAAGTGCACTTACCACTTTATCGTTTAAATGCCTCACCCGGCACGGCAATAAGACGTTTTGGCCTGAGGACGCGAACACATTTTGCGGCGCATTTTCAAAATACGTTTTCAATTGTTCATCGACTTTTTTTTTTATTACACTACCTGCAACTAAATTAGAAACAAATTAAATTAAAGCAACACAAATCTTCGTTACATTACATAAAGATAGTTTTCACACAACAAATAAAACGATAAGTTTTAAAAATGTATTTTTCTGTTTTATATTCTGCCATGTGCCAAGTATAGATGTGGGCTGCATGTTCGGGGTAATATCATAATCCGTTAAGTAACGGGTGTTGGTGGTTTTTCTACTCTCCGCCTGACACAACTTGGTGACGAGGGCTGAGAAGGTTTCTTCTCTCTCTCTCTCTCTCTCTCTCTCTCTCGTTGTCTCTTTCATTCATATTTTTGCTATATGAGGCCAAAGGCATTAACAAGGAAACGATGATCATCTGGGACATCATCAATCTTGCCAAACCTCTGATATTATGAGCTCTCTAGCGGGCGGTCGCTAAATAACGTGCAACCGGCTAATTTGGCTGGGACCTTAAGCCCGTGTCCACACTTACATCGCATATGTATTATGTATATTGATAATGGATTTACAATATCGTTGTAAATCGATGATATAAATGATAATGTTCAATAAATAATACGCGTATTCAATGAAATAGTATTTGGGTTCATGAATATTCATGAATATAAATTGTTTGTTGTCCAACAATTATTTCGAATTGGTGAATTTTAAAGTAAAAAAATCTTAATTACCTAAAAAAAACTAATTAATTGGGATTGTTAGTAGTTGGACTTTGTTCTGAGAAACAAAACTGCAAGTGTGCATTTTAACACCAAACATATTGCGCTTTAGGCAAAACCTCTCCACTGACTTCAAAGGGATGACATAAAAAATACGTGTTTTTCATATTATGTTGTTTTTTTTTTATTGTGACATTATTGTTTACACTGTATATACACAAGACTACGTAGAATTTCGTTTTTTCCTCTTCAGACATAATTTAGTCTACCAAAAACCACTTTTAATTCCATTGTTTTTGAACAACCTACGACTTTCAAAAACATATTATTAAATGATTCCCATGATATTTATATTACAATTGATAAAACAAACAAACTCATTGTATAAATACATTTTAAATTCAGTTATTGTTGACACTACTATTGTAACTGGTTTATGTTAAATCTTTTTATTTACAATATACAATAAGATGGTCGATATTAGATAGTAAGTAAAAACAAAGCATAACTCATTATCGTAAATATTCCATATCCAAAATAATTAATATAAATAATAAGTGTTTCAAAAATTGAATTATTTCGAATTCAACAATTTTAAAGCTTTCGTACGTGACTATTACCGGTTTTTTTTTTAATATTAAATAATAAGACTAAAACGAAATACAAGACTAATATTTATTTACTATTTCATAAGATTATTATCAAAAAATCTAATTTTCATAATGTAAAAGTTATATTTAATGTAGGTATGCATTTTATCTATAGGTACTTTTAAATTGTTGTTACACCTTCACCAATCATAATAGTCTCAAAAAATGTTTTCTAACGTATAAAATATTTTATATTTTTATATTAACTTCCAAAATTACAAACAGGCGTGCAGCCTATACCAAGTATTTTAAGAAAAAAAATAGTACAATTTGGGTAAACTGATAAATCCTATTTTAATAACAATTTTCAATTTCTTATGAGCTGTATAATGTATGTACATTTTCGATTCCACTAATAATAAATAAAATATTTAATTATAAATTCCATGAATTTAAATCAGTTTAATTTTATGTTCCAGCGACCAGTATTAATATATAGTTAATGTGATAATGATATTATAATGTGTATAAAAAATAATAGGTATAGGTAGTAAAAAGTAAAAACACAACATTGAACGACTGCATCATTTTAATATTATGTTCAACGTAACAAATTTCAATTTAATTTGGTACAGTTAATTAACTCAACAGTCTTTATTCCCATTAGTATTATGATAATTATAATTAGTAAATTAACATTTGTATTTCTAAATTGTTTTAGATATAAATATATAATGAGTTCATCTTAAATGAAATCCGATTTTCCCAAACATTCAACCCCTACATAAACATACCATAACCTAGCGTCTACGAATGAATGTGAGTTTTTCATTTTGTTTAAGGAGGTTCCATTTGGTTCATGTATTTATTCACATAACATGAAATATAAATTTATTATATGAAGAACGATCTACATTTTCATAGTTGTACTATTTTATGAGACATTGAATATTTGTTTGTGTTTAGAAGGGATGCAAACCCCTAAAAACTTTACCTCTCCATAACTCAACAACAAGTAGTCTAAAATAGTAACTTAAATTAGACCATCATAGTTTATTCATAATTTGTTAAATACAAGAAAACGAAATAAAGATTTTAAAAACTAAATAAATTGTGCATGAAAATAAAAATACATACTTTCTTACCTAAAAACATCACTTTTGTTTTAGAAACACTGCGAGTAGCGTTATTAATTTGTTTGAAATCAATGATCAATAATTTATTTAGACTTAGTCTGAAAATGGTCTCAAATGAATAACCAACTGGTGTTTACTAACAAAGTAATATATTTTATTCAACTTTCCGATGGCAAGCTTGTTTTTCTCAAAATATATGTTATGATATAATATAATGTAGGTAACTAAGTAATAATTACACAAAATGAAGATAAAATTAAACAATTTATGTAACAAACTTGAAATCATAAAATAATATAGTAAAACTATTATATTCCAGATTTGATATAATAAAAAAATAAATAATAAATAACATATTTCGAAAAATAAAACGTCTGATTTAAATCTGCTGCTAGAATATAATATGTTTAAGAGAGTACCTATTAATTTATTTTTCGTTTAAAGCGTGAAGAAAACTATATAATCAGTGCTTACGTGCGTTTATTTGTTTCTGAAATTGCTCATATCAAAATTTCTCTCGCGTACGACATCACGTCCCAACACATCACTAGTCATTCCATCGACTTTGTGGATAGGTTTTTTATCTTTCGTCTTCATAAAAATTTCAAACCGTTTTATATCGATTGCGGCACACCGACGGTGATGGGAGTCAGTGTTTAGCCACGCGTAAGCCGGCCGTGAAGAGTTTAGATGCGCCGTGAAATTGAATACATCCAACGTGAATGGAAAAAATAACCCACAACAAATTATGTCGATAATTTTGTTTGTTTGGTTTTTTTTTAATGTAACATATTATTATATTATAAAATATATATACTTTTTTTTTTAATTGTTTATAAACCGTTTCGGTTGTGGTCACAGATAATAGGGAAACGTGTCTCGTAAATTGGTGACCATCTGCCGACGGGCAATCCATCAAGGAGACTCTCACCCGGCGGGCTTTAATTACTTTTAAAAGTAATAATGGCGCATACGGTAAACCACCGGCTCACATGCTCTAAAACATAAGATTGATAAGGACCGTAAAAATAGTGCATGTCAAAAGTAGTCGTTTTTTGACCCCATCCCCCATCCACCATTCAGGCATCTGCCACCTTCTGCTTTTTGAGGCCTATCAAAATGTATGAGTGTGTTAAATCTGCTACCATTAGTTGCATCTCGGGAAACGTGGTGAATTAAAGCGGTATGGAATGCTTTTAGAAGACACTCAAGGTACATCAAGTCTTACTTCCGAGAATAACATAAAATCACGTCTTATTTTGAATAAATAGATATACATGTATATTGTATATGATTATAAAAATATATCACCGAGTACACGAAGACAATTGAGGAAATGTTAAAGAACATTTAGAGAACATCATTAGTTTAAAAATACATTTTATTTCAATTTTCCCTTTTTTCTCATCTAACTATGTTGTTATATTTGCAATAAGCTCTACATTAAGTCTTCTTATTTTTACTTTTATGAACTTCAAGCATTATTAAAATCACACTATACTGACTTGCAAACAAATTATTTATGACCCTTTTTTTAAAATATATTCACACTTACCACCAATATTTATTGTTTATACGAGTTCATAAGAGTTAAGATATGGAATTAATGTATAATATATTTATGTATTATTTAAATACCTACACATTAATACTCGCGATTTGCAGGCACACGGTGGGTGACAACTTATACAGAGAGGTAATTCTGTAAACTGGACTTACATTATGAAAACTGTACATGATTGTACGTCATTCAATCAAACATGCACGCAGTTACAACGTACAATTTTCTTTCAATTTTAGTTCACGTGTCATATCGTCGAGCAAGATTCCCCTGGGGGTTAAATTTAAATTTTCAAAATTATATCCTTAAAATCTACAAGCACATATCGAAACGTTACATAGAGTAATAACAATAGGACGGCCAATACCCGAGGGTGTATTTTTGTAAACAACAGTAGTTTTAAATAAAACTACCACACCACCTGTACAGTGTAGGGCGATAACAGATGGTGGGGGCATGCGGGTCTGCCAGTAATAATTCCAAAAACCTCTTATTAAGGTCCGGGCGAGCAACCATTTAATTTAACTGCCCGCTATCTATTAAATAGAACAGCGCCCAGTCCACCCAGACTAACTAATTTAACAGTTATAATAGACAAGCGGCGTTGTGTAAAAGGCATTTATCATTATCTGAAAATATGAGATCGCATTTATCACTATGCTTGCTAACAAGGTCCCACATTACCACTAATATAGTAATATGCAAATTACCATATTCAATGTGTGTTTACAGAATTACAGGTAGGTACAAACACAAAAGCTATTATAGGTAAACCATAGAAAAAAATTGTAATTTCTACCACAAAAATATCGTACACAACAAGACAAAAATGAATTTAAATGAACGGTTATACTCAAAAAATTATAATTGTTCAACAGTACTTGATAAATGCATAACAGAAAATTCAATTTGAACAATATAATAAATATTTAATTTTTAGCAAGTTCATTGTTCATAATCTAATCAAAGAAATAATTATATTTGCTACAAAAATACTAAAACTTTTTATTTCTTTAAATACACGTATAATATAAATAAAAGTTTTGCAATTTCACTTTAACGATG